AATATTATATTATTTAATATTTAATATTATTTAGATATTAAATGAAATCTTTATATCAAATTCCAAGTTAAACTTAATACTTGGTGTTGTTTTCTACAAAATGGATCAAAAAGATACATATAAATGAAAATACATGGAATTTATCGTACATTCTATATAACACATCACTCAATAAGTTCCGGGCCTAACTAATAAAACAACTTTTAGACAAAATTCGACGTTATTCATTAACATAGTCTCCTTCTAGGGTGATACACTGATTCCAGCGCTTCTCTAACAATTCAATGCCTTTTTTGTAGAACGATTCGTTTTTGGCAACAAGATACGCTTCAGTTTCCACAATGGCCTCATCATTTGATCCAAATTTCTTTCCCTGGAACATTTTTTTGAGGTCTGCAAACAGCCAGAAGTTGCTGGGTGCAAGATCTGGAGAATACGGTGGATGGGGAAGCAATTCGAAGCCCAAGTTGTGTAATTTTAGCATCGTGGCGATCGACTTGAGACACGGTGCATTGTCTTGGTGAAAGAGCGCTTTTTTCTTCTTCATTTGTGGCCGTTTTTCCGTAATTTCTTGCTTCAAACGTATCAATAACGTTATATAATATTCGCTATTGATGGTTAGCCCTTTCTCAAGGTAATCGATGAACAAAATACCTTGCGCATCCCAACATACGGAAGCCATAACTTTGCCAGCTGATGTTTGCGTCTTTGGTCGCTTTGGACAGCTTTCACCTGCTGCATCAGATGACTGCCGATTTGACTCCGGAGTGAAGTGATGGATCCATATTTCATCCATTGTCACATGTCGACTCAAAAAATTCTTCTTATTGCGCTGAAACAGTTGCAAACAACGCTCTGAATCGTCGACGCGTTGTTGTTTTTGATCGACTGTGAGCAAACGCGGCACCCACTTTGAACACAGCTTTGTCATTGACAAATGTTTATTCAAAATGGTGGATACACTGCTGTTTAATATCTTCAACTCCTCTGCTATCTCACGCAACTTCAATTTACGATCGGCGAAAACAATTTTGTGGACTTTTTTGATGTTTTCCGGGACAATTGTCGAATTTAGGCGACCAGAGTGTTCAGCATTATTTGTGTTTTTACGACAGCGTTTAAAGTCAGCATACCACTTCTTAATTGCTGCTTTCGACGGAGCAGAGGACGAATAACACTTATCAAGCCATTGCTTTGCTTGAACGGTATTTTTTCCCATCAGAAAGCAATGCTTTATCAATACACAAAATTCAGATTTTTCCATTGTTTTGAAAAATGCAAAAGTAACGTCACTTAAACTACTGTAAAGGTCCGACAGCTAAAATTCTGACACGTCTGTTTAAAGATTTAGTACTTTCTAAAAATCATGGATTTTAGTACGCCATCTATTATGTCAGGCCCAGGACTTATTGAGTGATGTGTTACATATTCTATATTTATACGTAAATGGTGTTTGATAAGTCTGATAAATCTGTATCCACAATTCATTTGGTAATGTGATATCTGGAAAATATCACTCATTAAACCCTTCTGCCAAATTTCAGCTAGAATTGACGCATTGTTTGTGTTCGATCATCGTTTCAAGTGAGTGAGAAGTTTAGCAGTTGCCGCATAGAAAAATTAAAAAAAAAACGAATTTCGTGCATAATAACAGAATTGGACTTTAGATTCATTTCTCATTCATCCTATTACCTAAATTTAGAATAGAACAAAGAATCATTAAAAGCTTAATTTTATAATTTTGCACGGAATTCGTTTTTTTTTTCCATTTTTATACGTGGTAACTGCTAAACTTTTCGCTCGCTTGAAACGATGGTCGAATGTGAACAATGCGTCAATTCAGGCTGAAATTTGGCACAGAAGACTTTGAAGAATGATAATTTCCAGATGTCACAATAGATTTGAATAATGAGCAAGAGAAATAAATTTTATCTCTTATTATTTCAATTCTTTTCTAAATCGTTAAATTTTGTATCGCCATCAGTGACTGAATAAATCTTCCTAGATATTTTTATTATTCCAAGATATTTTTACATGTTGCCATTTCAACGATTTACGATTGTAAGTATCAATATAAGTTATTATAATTTATAATGAAATATATAATGATATTTATATATTTATAATTTTATCAATATAATTAAGAAATGCATCTCTTATATGGATGATTAGTACTTTTCAGGAAATTATTTAAAACGAAGTAAGGATGTGTGTATCATAGAAAGAATACTTCATTTATGTTTTACTACAAGCTCGTATAAATACGTACATAACATAAGAGTTTTATAATCGCTT